TGTTGGTCACCATGTGTATGTAATGCCGCCTGGACCGGCTTTATTATACCAACCAAATAACAATAATAGTGAAAGAGAGAGACTGAGAGAGAGAAGTATACAGAGGTCACACACCATAGAGAAAACTATTAATCAGTCTGACCACAAGGGCCCTAGTTAATACATTATACTAGTTAACAGTTATTAATATATATTACACAGCTCCCCTCTGAAAAGAAAGGCGTCCCGCCTTTAGTAGAATACAAATTCACCCCTATCTGGAGGAAAACGATGACGAGTAGGATAGCGACGTGTGGGTGGATTAACAGGAGCACCATGAGCATCATCATCTGATGACTCATCGTCTGAGAAGTCAAGCAATGTGATATTGTCTCCAATTTGATATGATGATTGAGAGGGAGTAGAATGAGAAGATGAGAGAGAGGGAGGAGTAGTGAGACGAGTACCTTGAGTGTATGGTTTTAAACGATCAAAGTGCACAATAGAGACTTTGGACAAATCCTGAATTGGAGCAATTTTGTAGTTTAAGTCAGATAACTTAGAGACAATTTTGTACGGTCCTGTCCAAGGATGATGCAGTTTACGATGACTATTAGGGGGAACCACAGTAGAGTGTAACCATACTAAATCACCATCATTGTAGGGCTTCCCATGCACTGTGCGATCATAAAGCATCTTTTGTCTCTTCTGCACATTTCCCAATGTTTCCCTGACTTTCTGATATGCATAATGCAATGTGAGCTGCATCTGACGTGAGTAAGTAAGAGTTGATACACTGTCTTGAGAAGGAGAAGTTATACCAAAATCAAGATCAGCAGGCAATCGAGCTTCCCGACCATACATGAGGTAGAATGGAGTGAAACCAGTTGAGGAGTGGGTGCTGGTGTTGTATGCAAAGCATACTGGACGAAGGTATTGTTCCCAGTTAAGAGGGTTGTCTTTAGCTGTTGTTGCCAACATGTTAAGAAGGGTGCGGTTAAATCTTTCAACTAAACCATCACACTGGGGATGATAAGGAGATGTACGTGATTTGTGAATTTGGAGAATACGACAAATTTCTTTGAGCAGACACCCATCAAACGGACGACCTTGATCCGAATGCAGCCACTCAGGTGGGGAAATCTGAAGACATTTCATTTGTAAGTACAGTTGCAACAGTGACCGCCTCCATATTAGGAAGGGGGTAAGCCTCACACCACTTTGTGAAGTAGTCAGCTGCTACTAGGATATATGAATTGCCACTCTGACTTTTTGGGAGAGGACCTAGAAGGTCTACAGCAACTAATTGTAAGGGGCTACCAACTGTAATAGGATCAAGAGGGGCTTTAGCTTTAGGTGTTGCTGCTTTTCTAGTAGCACAAGAAGAACAGGTAGAGCACCACATGATGACATCATTATAGTGTCCTGGCCAATAGAAACGGTCCTTAAGTTTCTGTAATGTTTTGGATTGGCCCAAATGTCCACCCACAGATCCTGCATGTATGTGCTCTAAAATATCACTACGAAGAGAGAATGGGACCACAAGTTGCCTAATCGTGGAGTCATTATCTGAATTGTGAAAGATGCGAAATAAAATTCCCTGCCTAACATCAAGTTGATCCCACATTTGAAATAACTTCCTAGTATGAATACCATAACCATTAGTAACAGCATGAGAAGGGCGATGTTTTTGCTCCTTAGCTATCAGTACTTGACTCAGGGTACTGTCTTCCAACTGAAACTGGCGTATATCAGCTGGTGAATAAGAGAAAAGTGTGAAGGGAATGTTATCATTTCCAGAGATGACAGCAGTAACAATATCATCTTGTACAGGGTAACGAGAAAGAGCATCAGCATTATTATGTTTACACCCTGCTCTATGGTCAATTTGAAAATTGTATTCTGCTAGTCTCTCCAACCATCGAGCGAGCTGGCCATCTGGATTTCGAAAATTTCGCAGCCATGATAAAGAGTGGTGGTCAGTACGTAGTACAAATTTACGACCTAGCAAATATTGACGGAAATGATCGGTAAAAGTAACGATAGCAAGTAACTCCCTACGAGTTACACTATAGTTCTTCTCAGCCTTTGTTAGGGACTTGCTAGCATATGCAACAACATGCTCCATTCCATTGTGGTTCTGGGATAAAACAGCTCCAATTGCCTCATTACTGGCATCAGTGTCCAAAGTAAAAGGCTTTGAAAAATCAGGGTATGAGAGAACCGGGGCTGAGGTCAGTAGTTGTTTCAGTTGATGAAAGGCATTGTCACATTCACTAGTCCAGCGAAATAGAGCATTCTTTTCAGTGAGTCGATGAAGTGGTCTACAGATAGCTGCAAAATTACGAACAAATCGCCTGTAATAACTAGCCAATCCCAGGAATTGCTGTAGTTGCTGCTGATTAATTGGTGTAGGCCACAGAGCTATTTTATCCGTCTTTAAGGGATCCGTTGAAATGCCACAATTGGAAACAATATGTCCCAAGAACTTAACTTCCCTCTTAAAGAATTCACATTTGGATGGCTTAACTTTTAGTCCAGCATCACGGAGACGTGAGAATACTGTTGCAATATTGGCTAAATGAGATTGGACATCCTTCCCCATGATGATCACATCATCAATGTAAACAAGACACGACTCCCATAGCAGCCCAGCTAGAAGCATGTCCATAAGACGTTGAAAGGTAGCTGGGGCATTGCATAGCCCAAAGGGCATGACATTGAAGTGAAACAAACCTTCTCTGGTACAGAAAGCTGTCTTGTCACGGTCCTTCTCCTCCACTTCTACCTGCCAGTAACCACTCAGAAGGTCCAGAGTTGTGAACCATACAGAGCCAGCCAGCGTGTCCAATGTCTCGTCAATGCGTGGGAGAGGGTAAGCGTCCTTCTTAGTCACCTCATTGACTTTACGGTAATCAATGCAAAATCGAAGTGACCCATCCTTCTTCTGCACTAAAATAATAGGAGAAGACCATGGACTATGAGACTTAGCAATTATATTTCTGTCAAGCATACTTTGAAGAAGCTGGTGAGCCTCCTGTTGTTTATGCTTAGGAACCCGTCTCGGAGGTTGTCGTATCGGTGGTGCTGACCCAGTGTCAATGCTGTGTTGAAGGAGATGAGTAAGACCAAAGTCATCATCATCATCCGGGAAAACTTCTGAAAATGAGAGTAGAAGTGAGTAGAACTGCTCTTTCTCTGAGTCTGAAATGGTAGTAATGCTCTGTGCAATACTCCTAAGGAGGTCTTGCTTATGTAATGAGGGAGTGGTTGTCACTTGTGACACCTGAAGATGAGACTGTGGTAGTTGAGAGAGTGAGGCAATACGAGTGCCCTTGTAGATAGTGGCAGGTGTATTAGCTAGATTAATAAGGCGTACCACTATATGATTATTTGGAGTCACAATGGCCCTTGCCACTGTAGAGTTGAGTCTCTTGGATGTAGACAAATTGTCTTCAACTAGCCAGATACCACTTTCACAAGCAAAATCATTAACAAAAGCCAAGGTCTCCAGTTCAGAGTATGGTGGAATACGAACGGTGTCATTGAGAACAGCACACAGAGTGGTACTCCTATTGGGTGGTGCAACAGTAGGGATAAATACAGGTGTGCCAT